CAGAAAATAAGGAAGAGAAACAAGGACATAATCGAAACTTGAATAGAAGGAATAAGGCCATATCTAGGACACAATCATACCACTTATCCAGCCAAACAAAGCATGCTCAGGACGTGTAATTCATAGTCAACGCATAGCCAGGTCACTAGAGCAACACCAAGAAAGAGAATTGCGAAATTAAAGAGATGATGAATGACAGGAGATCACAAGCACCATACCTTAGTTTTGGCAAATGGGTGTCTCTCTTGCACACTACCGCTGAAATGAACACTTCCAATCTTTGTTTTCCCCTAATGAAGACAAACAAGATCAGTGTGATTCACCCAAATTAAGCATTGAAAATAATAAAGAGAAAACACCACACGCCACACTGAAAACAGCGAAAACCAGAGAAAAACGAAAAAAGGACGCATTTCGATTTCAACCATCACAAAGGAAAGCAGAAGAGAGATCCACGAGACGAAATCACTACGTTCACGACAATGAAATGAGAAGTACCTGGAGTTTTTCATGCACCGACAGTGCAGCTGAAGCCGAGGCGGCAGCTGGCGCGAAAGAGAGCATTGTGGAAGCCATCTGATTCAAGAACTACCAACTCTGCAGCCAAACCGATGTCTTTTGAGCCAAAGCTACAAAAAATGAAGATTCTGAGTGATCAGTCGATTACCCAATTGATCTGCCACGATCAAATGACGATCAAGAGATCTAACGAGTGCAATTCAGCACTCAAACAATCCGAGCCCAAGACCGAAATGAACCGGGAAAAGTTCAAGATTCTGACTTCAACTGGTGGAGCAGGCACACGGATCAAGAACAGAACAAAGAACCCACCTGGAGAGAGGGAGAGCAGAGAGAGAGCGAGAGAGAGACGATAAAACCGAAGCGGCGACGAGAAGGCAAAACTCGATTGAGTATCGCTGCTTAAATATTAGTTGGTGCTTCTTTCTTGTTCTGCTTTTCCTTCATAAATTTAATCGTTGCCATCTCTTGAAACTAGGGGCCTGCAGTCTTTTAGTTGGATTTTCAGGCGGGTGGAATTAGATTTCGTCGCAGGCGTAACAGGATTGAGCGACATGAGATCATTCACGGAAGCAGTCAGTGCTACTGTACGCTGTACAGACACACTACACGTGGACAAATACGAGGCATACGATTCCGTATATGTTCTGTACACTGTTCACCATGAGCGAATCTTGTCCACCCGTTGGACCTTTCGCGTGGATAAATGTTGTCATTCCAAATCTTATATGGTAGTTGTCTGTTCTCTTTTCGCTGCATAAAAGGGCACGCCTTGTCAAATGAGGAAGCGTCCTTTTTCTTTGCAGGCTAGGCTCAGGAGAGGCAAACTTCACATCAATTTGTGGAAGTAATCTTGGCCACTCGTTTACGGTTTGCCCCCTTGAAATGATGCGCCTCCACAAGGTCAAAGGATAAGGAGATTTTTTTGCTCCCCAACCAAATTATAAAATTGGTCTATCCATAACTCGTTCAATGTTTGCCTACGTAGTAGTTATATTGCTTAAAATTGGGCTTGACTTTCGGATCAACCCTAGAACTGGCCAGTTCCATCCCAGGTCGGTTTTTAAGAGAACCGGCTTGCTTCCTAAATTCAGAGATCAAGAAACTACTTTGATAGAGTAAGTTCCAAGTTTTTTGTCTATAACCTACCTATCCCGAAAATAATCAATCATTAGATCATATATTAGTCTTCAACAAGTCTAGGCATGACATAGTCAATTAGGTACATGATCTGCTGGACTCCAACCATTGAAGAGCTATGGGATAATTGTCCAAAAAGTCTAAGTCAATTGTACTATAGCCAATTCAGTTATAAATCTTTTAATGATTTGCCAATTTAGTCCTAAGTCTATTATTTGGATATTTGACCAGAATGACTATATTGGCAAATCATCAAAAGGTTAATGACTCAATTGATATATTTAAGACTGAATTAGCTTTCATACAATAGGTTTGATGGCTTTTAGACAATTTTCCCGAGAGTTACCGACCGACACTGAGTCATATGGAGGATAAGTGTATCGCCCGTGTTCACAAATTTTCGTGTATGATGAATAAAAGAATTTGTAATTGTACTTTTTCCACCACCATGAGAACATGTCGAACACTAATGTCTCAAATGCCATGGCTCTTGTATACAAGCGATCCGTCTTTCTCATTACTATAAGCTGGGCGTGCCAAAGAGTTAGACCGGGTGTTGTGGCCTCATAAATATTGTACTTTTGAACTTTAGTCCACAGTTTTCTTTCTTTTTCCACTTGGTCTTCATGGAGAATTTCTCCTTCCTTCTTTTTCTAATTGGACAAGCATCAAACCACCAGCAAGTCCTTCCCTCAAATCACATGGTCCAAGACATATTCAAGAGAAAGATATCATCACACCATCTCAGTACAACCTAACCTAACCTCGGCTTCCGCACGTGGCATTGCTGTTTAGTTATGTCTGAATTTAGTGATCACTGACTGATTCAAAAGTGCTGTGCTGCAAGAAGAACTCGAAAGCGTGAAACATTAGGTCAGCATTACGCACAGTACACCCATCACCAACCATCATTCTTCTTCTGACTTCGCCGCTGGGAATGACTCGTCCGTTCGCCGCTCCGATCGCTCAAGCGGATCGCCGCGCTTGCGGATCCTGTTTAGCATTTATTTTTAGACCAAGAAGTCTCCGAAAGCGACCCTCTACGGCTCTGAGCAATGTCGCTTGGGGACCCGAAACGTTCCCGATGTTTTTTGCTCTTTTCCGGGCTGATTCCCTTACAGAAGATTTAATCAATCTTTTTTATCGAGTCTCAATTCCGGCACAAAATATATATATAAACACAAACTTTTTTTATCAGCACTCGAATCTAACCCAATCAAATTCTCATCCAATGATCCCGTAAAAGATTTGATGTGTAATTTGATGTTGCCTTTATTTTTTCCTTTCATCTACTTCATTGCGGTGGCCACTGCCGCTCCCGTGGATGCCATGGCCACTTGCATGAGTTTTGGGTAAGTAGCCATGACCGTCGCAAGCTCGAAAACCGAGTGGCCACAATCTCGAGCTCAAATATGTGCCCACTCATGACAACCAATCAAGCGATTATGGCCACGAGCTCAGATCAAACAACCATGACCGCTGTGAGCTCGAAGCTTGAGCTGCCGTGTCCTCGGAGCTTCATAGATCGAAACTCAAAGGATCATGGTCTCCGCGAAAAGCTCATGCACCAATGGTTGCAAGGTCGAAGCTTGAGTGGTCATGATGACCTTGAGATTTGTGGCTCGAAAAGATCTCATGGCTCTCGACCACGAGCTCGAAGCTCTAGCAGCCATGGTCGCCCCAAGTTTCGCTGTTCAAAAGGATTTCTTGAGGAGAAGCTTGAGATTCGAGTCCGGTATAGGTATAGGTTTAGAGATTGAGTTTTTGCTCATGTGGTTTCAGATTGTGCAGTGTCTTGATTTGTTACGGGTGCTTTTCTTCGCTATGAAGGAGTACTTTATAATCGAATTGGGGATGAAGAGGATCAAAGGAAAACAGAGAGAAAAATAATAAAGGCGATGTGAAATGACACGTGAAAGGAGGAGGAGGAGAGATCTACACGTGAAATGACTCGTCTGATTAACAACACCATAAAACGGAAACTTGACGGGGCCCAAGTTTAAGTACTGAAACTGAGAAAACAATGCGGGCCGAAGTTGAGACCCAAACTAAAATTGACGCTTCTTAAGGAAATTAGACCCTGTTTTCAGAGAAATCGTATTAATGGCCGTCGTCCAAATGGAGGGTCCATGCCAAGGTCCCCCACTTACTTTCACTCAATCTCCATTCGAGCGATTCTGAAGGTTCCTCGGGTCTCCCGGAAGGGAAACGTAAGAAGATAACCCAACCATTTTCCCAGCCAGAGACATTACTCTGCCAATACTTTTGTGCAGATGGTGGCATAGAGCCATCCTAAGAGCAGTAATTCTGACTGTGAATCCTTCCACTAGCAGAAATTCGCCAGACTCAATGTAGTCTTTAGTGTAAAACTGATCCAGTGCTACAGAGCAGACCGGCACCGAAAGACACAGAAAAGAACATGAAGGAATGGTGGTGGTACATTCAGGAAATACAACTGAATTTGACAATCATGACATAACATCATCACCACCTGGAGTGCTATAGCCATAGCAGAAACTTGAGGCGGAGAACTTTAACATTCGTAAAACCTGTCATATACTAACTCATGAGACTCGTCAAAACCCTATAGCCAACGAGGATTCTCACGAATTTTCGGTACAGAAATTTCCGTCGATTCTCATTCCACCGCTATGAGCAGCTTGCAAACTAAAGCTATGGCCTTTGTTCATTGGAAGCCACAACTAATGATGATTCTCGCAATTTTAGATCAATCACTTCTAGTGAATCACGAAGTGTCATTAAATACCAGACTAATGCAAAGTAACATGAGATTTTCATTCCAACAACACTAAAACACAACAAAGTTTGGTCTTGCCGTCACAGCATATCTCCACTAAGAATAACCACGTAGCCATAAATCCCGCACCCAAATGCTAGAGCAGGCTTTGCATCTAAACTGATCTGGAGCTACCGAAGATCTTAGTGAACTGATTACACCCATATAGACATTAAAGATGGTAAACCAGCTAATTGGCGACTCAATCACGACCACATACTTCCCGCCTAAGTAAAAATTCTTCAAAATTGACACAGCTAGAAACTCTCCAATGTCTAATTGGATGACCACTAATAATCACTACTACACTATGAGCACAAGCACCATGACCTCAACAAACACTGAATGGGAAAAGCAGGTCCAACACAAGCCTAGAAGTCTCATCTAAATAAGAAGACAATGCCAATCATTAGCAGAATCGATCAAATGCGCCGAACGTTGCCCAACATGTTGAAACCGCAATTAGCTTAACAAGACTCAAAATTGAAGCAACATTAGAACATGCTCAATCCCATCCTTGATACTATCAAAACCACATGAAGTAACCACAATTCGCAGATCATCACATATAAAAAATGCTCGAGAGTAACAAAGCCGCACTGTATCTAAGCCAGCTATTTGCTTCCTTACAAGTCTTAAATTGGGCAATAATTAAGAAAAGCATCAAGGTCTCTTTCGCAACAACTAAAAGCTCTAACCAAAGCAAAAGCATCTTCCTTGAAAAAACGCCTCAGAATCCAAGCTTAGTGCGGCGCCAGTGCCTGCGCTTCGCGTTGTACCTGAACGATTTCGGTGCAAACAAGGAGACAAATTAGGCAAAAAAAGACATCTTTTTGAAACAAAACATGAACAAGGGGCAAAGAAATTAATGGGTCGAACCTGATGGTGTTGTCCGTCCTCATGCGAATCCAGTGAGGGATGGGCCTGTTCTGCCTCATCTTCTTCGCCAGCTTCTTCTTGATCCTGAACGTCTTGTGCGACGGCTGCGACCCACAAAAACAAAAAGCCACCATTTTCAGGAAACCGCAATCAATCTCTTCCACAAACCAACAGCACACAGCACGAAATTGAACTCAACAACAAAACCCAGAGAACGCGAGAGGAGGGACAGAGAGAGAGAGAGAGACCATCTTCGGTTCCTGCTGAGCTGCCGCGGAGGTCCTGCGAGAGCGGAGGAGACGAGAGAGAGACCCAAAACCCTAGAACAGCAGCGGAAGGAGAAGGGACACGGGGGGGAACAAGAACGCTCCATATATACGAGGGCCTCATGGGCGTCGGTCCATCTTCATCAGGAAGCAAAAGGGGTCTTCTCATTGGCCCGTCGCCATTGCTCATCGAACCAGATCGAGAAGACCCATTGGGCTCGAGCTCCGTCCACGGCGGAGATCCTTTCGCAAGCTCCGGCAAAGTTCTTGCCCCCAAAAGACTCTTGGGCCGGAGGGAAGAAGGAAGAAGGAAAATTTTTTCGCCATGATTCCTTCGCTCTGCTGCGATTCCATGGGGCTTTATCTTCAGGAGGCCCATGGATCGCAGAAGACTAGGCCTTAAGACATGCAGCAAACCAACGACTCTTCCCCCCTTCATCGTCTTGTCTTAGTCACAACATCAACATGCCAAATCACTTGAACTTTTAGTTTAGCAGAAATCATCAGAGATGTTTGTTAGAAAATTTAATATCAGAGAAAATAATCAGGTTTTATTTGCGATGAGTGACGCGTCGAATTCGACGAGCAGGGATGGGCGCGCGTGCTAAATAAACAGGGGGGGAGGGGGCGGAACTGGTCCCGACATAATGTTAGAAAGTTCAACCAAAAAGGCATCAACCGATAGGTAGAGGTGGATTGTGCTTATATATAGAGCATATGAAGTTAAGCGGTGCGAGGTATTCCAAAACTCCATATGCATCGTGACTTCATTTTTCAGGGGACAAATGGTTGGTCTGATTTAGCATCGGAGCTCGGGCGCGGTAAAGGCCCGAATCTCGTCACTCGCTTGAATCTCGGCACTTGCTCTTTTATGCCGCGTATATTCGTATTGCTATGTTATGTTATGTTATGGTTTTTTTTAATCGACTTAGGTTATGTCTAACACTAGAAGGAACTAGCTAGGTAGCTACCTATTCTTCAGTTATATGTTTCATAGAATCTTCTGAAGAACCGTACCCTCCAGCTAATACTAAATTAGTAGCAGTAGTAGATACTAGCTAGCAAAGCCAATTTGTATAACACAAAGGCACGACGCGGCTTTGAAAAAGATTACCCTAGTTTTTTGGACTAAACATTATTCAAATCGAGCTCACATGGCATGGACGAGATGTTTGGCATTTCGGAGTTTGCTTTTCGTTGGGACCAAAAATAGTGAATTAGGAAAAAAAAAAAAACACATCCGAGGTGGTTACAACATATGCTTTGTCAAAGGGTCTCTTTAAATGCTCTTGCCCCCACATGGATTAAACTATATATTAACCATATTATGTTGACCTAAGTGGTTGAGTGTGGCCAATCACGCCCTCATGAGAGAAAATGAAAACTATCTTTGCTACCATGAGAAGTAATCAATTCTATACTTAGTTCTACATGATGGGATTTAGGGATTTCCCGAACACACGGTCTTGAAATTTAACAGGAAAAGTTATTATGTTGTGACGGTGTCGGCGTAGAACAAAATATGAACAACGGAACTGTAGAGCGATGCCGAGGAGCTTGGACCACGGCTCGTCGATCGTGTCATTTACATCATAGATATGGCGATAGATAGCGGAATCGAGGCCCATGTGACTAATCGCACATGAGGGCAAATTTAAGCATTTAACAAAGTTAACCGAGTATCGGGTGGCTTAAATCAAATGGGTGATAGAGATGATTTAGGGTTTTATATACATGATGATTTGCATCAATCTAGGAACAAATTAAACATGGTAGCTACCCGACCTCTCCCAAACCATTTGTTCTTCAAATCATTAACTTCGTATATTGATCAATTCGTAGTTGTTGGGTCTTGAAGTTTTCATCTTTTCTCTTTGTTCTTGGTCTTCATTGGATGCTACGTATGTGGAGAATGAGACAAAATGGGGAGATACATGCACATGGGATGGGAAGGGGACGCCATTCTTTTCAATGACCAAGCCAATGATGAGGAATTGGTGTGTGGTCTCTCCTATTATATATATAATTCAACAAATGAAAGCAAGAAGCCAAAAGAGAATTTTGAAAAGAGACCAGGCTGTGCAAATCCCACAGACTGCGGGGAGGACTTCAAAGACAAAACATCTTCAATCACATCAACCCTCTCCCTAAGTCATCTCTTTCTTTTTTTTTTGCTTAACCAAACCGCGTCAAGAAGATTGGTTAGTTCTTCACCTTAACGTTTCAATATATAGAGTTAAGAAATCATATTTGTACTATTACTAATGGTTAAGTTCTAGTATTACAAGGTTTTAGGTCAATTTTAATACATACATATAGCATTGTATGGATTATAATACACAGTAACAAAAAATTACTCCGAGCATCGAGCGTCCTTGTGCTTTTGCGGGTTCGGTCCATCTTTGGTCCTCTTGATCAATGCTTTAATGTAAGTTGGTAAATGACTACAGAATCATTAGATAAATATCGAAACCTCCTCGGCACATCATATTCCCGATCTATGCTTCCCCAACAATAATTTGGGATATTTCTTCCTAGTAATCTTGAAAAGGATCAATTTTATCTCGCTTCACGGGTTAGAGTTGTGAAACTATACGGTTAAATTTTTTTTTTCGTTTCAAAAATTAAATTACATTAGCAAATAAGTATCAAGACTTTGTGTGGAAAAAGATTTTGCCAGATGGGATTTAGTTCCACCCATATTTCAATCTGTCCAAACTCGAGTCTTCAAACAAGAACTTTCAGGACATGTTTGTCAAAGTACAGACTTCAACCAGGTGTGTTAGCCCAAAAAGTCTTATGAAAATGTCATTTTCACAAAATGAAGTGGAAACAACTAAGCGTATATCTCCAAATTTCTCCAGCGTAATTAAAGCGGATCAAAGAAACCCTAAAAAGGAGGAGGGGAAGGGGAAAAGAGGGACATTCTCACGCGGTGGTGTTGCTTTCAAAGTCTGTTAACATCTGTAAAATCAGAAAATAATTAGAGATTATACATACTTCCACGAAAGCATGTGTGGTGTTGCATGCAAGCTGAGCATCGGTATCTACAAAATGGGTATGACATCCATGACAGTGATATCTAAGCTCTATTCTTATCCCCACACATTTGAGACTTTTTTGTTAGGCGTTCGACAGGGGATATCATGCCATTGAAATCGACCTGACCCGTGTCCCTTGGTTTGCATGAAAACCGTTTGAGGTTTTCAAAACTTACTTCCCATGCAGAGAGAGAGAGAGAGAGAGAGAGAGAGAGAGAGAGAGGGAGGGGTAGGTTTTCAAATCTTACTTTCATGTCCTTTGGCTTGCATGAAAACCGTCTGAGGTTTTCAAAACTTACTTCCCATGCAGAGAGAAGGAGGGAGAGAGAGAGTTGTTTAGGCTTGTTCTAAAGCGGGGATATGAAAAAGATTAGGTTTGAGAATTCGTATTCATGTATTCCATTCGAGTTATGAGTTCGCGTCATGTACATATTACTGCGGAACCTTATTCCCTTGTTGAATATGTTAAAAAGTTGACTGAGATGCCCATAGAATTCCAGCTTCAGGTTCAAAGTCGGCCGACTGCATGCAAATTACTTAAAATCGGGGTCATATGTACAAGTCAAAGGCTTAAACTTAATCGGTTCATAGGAACTCACGGGGTATTTCATGTCCTCCAGGTAGCCGCACCACTTCGTTCATGCCCTGAATTATAATAAATTTATGTCCTAGGTCTGTGTTTGTCTATATATCTACTTCACTTCAATGATCAAGCAAAAGCAAAGAAGCAAGAAAAACCTCTTTCTCTTTTTATACGTAAATTCGAAATGGTGAGATCTTACCTCTCTCTTGTAAAAGAGAGAAAGGCATTAGCTACCTTTTTCGTCTCTGATCAAAATATCATCACCAAGTATTGCATGTTTAGTTAAGAGCTAACTAGGGCCAACCTCTTTTATTGATGAAAACTATAAACCTCTTTTATCGATGAAAACTATCGATAAAAATGAGTAGATGTAATAACTCCGATCTTGTTAAGAAAGCAGCAAAGTAAATCTCATCCTTTTTTTTTTTTTAACAATGCAACTCATATTCTTCTATCCCGTTGGCGAAATTTAAAAGTGTGTCCATAGTTTTTTTTCGTCTCCACAAAATTCGCTAGCTGCTTCACAAGTCATCTTTGTATTAAAAACCCTAATCACACCCATGTTGTCTCCGGGGTCCCACCTCACGCGCTTCCATGGTGGGCCCGGCCCGACCGCGACGTACGCCTTGGCTTTTGACCGGGGCTAGCTTCTGTTTCGGTCCAAGGTTTTATAGCTGTAATCCAAGATTTCATCCTGTCACTGTTAGATCTGATATGATCCCTCATGCTCTTTCGCCCCAGTTCCTTTTGTCATTTTCCTTCCCCTTCCAGCTTATCTTGACAATGATTCGCACCGGTAATTCGCCCTAATTCGACACGGCACGTGCTCGGGTTGATATCTTCGAGCCGTGAAAACGATGAGATAACCTCCTGATGGCACGTGTCCGGTAAGACACGAGTTAAAACACAAATGAGTATTGGCCGAAGATGAACTTATTTGTACTTGGTAACGAGAGAAACATAACATAAATGCCCGTCAGGACGGACTCCACGGATGTGTTTATTATTTTAATGTATCGGTACCTGTACGTCTTGCACTCCCAATTCTCCTCCTGTCTTTGTCTTCCTGAAGGAGGGGGATTACCCATTATTCTGCTTTACATCATTGGGATTCTGAGGTTTAGAATGAAGTTTTTTAAGGACATGCTCAAGAATGTTTTCAGCTTATCGCGATAATGATTTGCAACGGTAATTCACCATAATTCGACACGATACGCTCATATTGATATTTTCGAGCCGCGAAAATGATGAGATACCTTGCCCATATCATGTGTTCGGCAAGATATGAGTTGCAACACAGAATGAGTATAGCCCGGACATGAACTTACTCGTACTTGATAGCGAGAGAAACCGAACGTAAATACCTGCCTGCCCGCATACAGTGGTGTCGATCGTTTTTACCCCTGAAATAAACTCATGGGTCCATCCTGTCCCTTCTAATGTCCGTTTTAGGATATCGTGAAGTTAATTAGTTTTGATGACGTTGAACATTTGACTTCGCGGGTTCGTATCGACCTTTTGTTTCACCCAATGCACGAGAGTCTTTTATGTCCGTTCGAATGGAATATACTGGGAATCATGGGATAATGTATAAATTGATCTCTGCATGACCGTCAGAGCAAGCAAAGGATGGACACGTGGAAGGGGCGAACCTGAAACCCTAAACGGGTTCAATGAACAGATAAGAAAGATGTTCGTGGTGAACATGTTCGGATCATGTGGATAAGTCCTGAATTAAGGAAGCAGAAGGAGTCAAGAAACAGCAGCTGAGGATCCAAAGCTTCTCCTCCGTCAGAGACACAACCCACGAATTATAAACGCGAAACCCTAGACGACCCCTGGTGTGTACATCAAGAAAAGAAACAACAAGATCGCCACCCATTTGCAGATGCTGCTCGCTTCATCTTCTGTTTGTTCTTATCAGTCCGGACAATGTGGGATATGGCGACGAGGTTGGTGTTGCATGTGGAGGAACAGTGAACATGGTCGCCAAAGCATATTTGTGGGATGTGTGTGTGTATGTCATTTGGGATGTCTTCTTCTTACGTGGTTGGCATATGCTCGTGTCTCGGTTTTGGGCAGCCCCAAGTTGTGAGAGCCGTGTGCGGATGAACCCCACAGGATCAAGAAGCACATCAACAAAAGAACCAAAAAAAAAAAAAAGAAGACTCAAATTGCATGAAAGTGAAAGCTATAACCCCCCAATACCACTTGTAAAAAGTTACCCACTATACTTCTTTGTAGAAACATCAATTCCAATTTGCCATGTTGCTGATGCTTTCTTGCTATGTCAGTAAAGAAAATGCATCCCTCAAATTTTGTTGTGTCAACTGAATTGATATATTAAGTGACGTGATATATTATGAAAAAATTATCTTCGATCCTTAAATTCGCCACCTCACTTTATGTTCCGAATATGAAAATCTGTTTACTATATCTAACGTTATTCGGATTCATGACGGGCACTTTCTCGTTACACAATCGCAAACCATGTAGGCTGTTGATTAGGATGTGAAAAGGGTGGTGGTTATTGCGGTCTGAGTTCATTTAGATACCTCAACAGTGTGGGAGATGCGATCATTATGGTCCTAGCTTGGACCATAATCATGACTTGGGGAGGTTCAATCATTACCCACCAATTGATACATAGCAATTGATTCGATCGATCTTTTCTGACCTCTGAGATTTTACCAAAAAGCATTTGACTGTGAACGAGGGAAATCTGAAAATGAATTAGACCTCCAGGACACCTCGAGTTTACGGTAGCCACATAATCCGAGGTGACTGGTGTTTAGGAATCTGCATTGATATATGTTAAGTGGTCGGTCCACTTAAAAATTTATTCACTAAAGTACACGATATCCCTAAGTTGAAAAGAGAATCATATATTTCATTTTTCTAAAGCTGTTCACGGAGGAACTCAACATGTTCGCGGATTACCTATGGCTACGGAACAACAAATAAGCAAAGTTCTTTGCACCAATTATTAAATTAATCTTCTTAGTTTTAATTTAAGGGGCGATGAAGTTCGCTCAAGTCACTATCCGAACTTTGCAACTGCATCACATGAAGAATCTCCCTGATTATGACCTTAGATTTCATCCAGCAAAAGGGTAACATGTTGAGCGCCATTTGAGTATACCCCTTTCAAGATAAGCAAACAAACAAACACTAATATTATATTCCGTGTTGATTGAATTTGGACACATTTTTGATTTTCAAATCTCCTCTCGAGCTCCTTCCCAGCTTCAATAATCAATTTAATCATATCAAGCTCAAGCAATAGGCCAACTGGTAAACTGCTAATCAGAAAAGAATACGAAAAAAAGTTGTGAAGTCTGCACCAAGAAGAAAAAGAAAATTGAACATCTATTTGTGGGACCCGGGTTTTCTAAATTGGTTCCAGCAAGTGTAGGAAAAACAGCACCCAAGGCCCAGTATATATATGTCCACAAGCTACAACTGCAAAACCCCCCAAATTCTCCCGCCCCATTCACAGATCAGGAGAATTTTCTTGCGCAGACAGCAACAAACCAACTCTACTTCAGGCGTGTTCACAAGCATTTTCTCAAAGAAAACCTGTTTTTTGTTTCTCTCTCTCTACCATGGCTCGACCGCAGCAGCGATATCGCGGTGTGCGCCAGAGGCATTGGGGTTCTTGGGTCTCCGAAATCCGCCACCCGTTATTGTAAGCTCACGCTTAATTGGAACTTTTGTGTTTTTGCGTTCTCGACATGTGTACTGAACCGAAACGTTCTGTCGATGCAGGAAAACGAGAATCTGGCTGGGGACATTTGAAACGGCTGAGGATGCGGCTCGGGCCTATGACGAAGCGGCGAGGCTAATGTGCGGACCGAGGGCTCGGACCAACTTCCCTTACAACCCGAACACATCTCAGTCTTCTTCGTCGAAGCTCCTCTCAGCGACATTGACGGCGAAGCTACACAGGTGCTACATGGCCTCGTTGCAGATGACCAAGTCTGCATTGCAAGTGCAGGAGCCACAGAAGCCACCGAGTTCCCATTTTGTCAACACCAGTGGCATCTTTGAGAGGAGCAACGAAATGGGTCATCAAAAGATGCAATTTCAATTGCAAGAATCGGAAAGTTGGGTGATCAAGAAAGAGAAAGTCGAGGAGGCCGAGACCCAACAGTTCAAGCCTCTCGAAGATGATCACATAGAGCAAATGATTGAGGAGCTTCTCGACTACGGATCGCTGGAATTAAGCTCTAGCATCGCATCCTAGGAGTCTGAAGACTCAGCAGCAAGAGAAGATTCTGAAGCTAGCCTCGAATTTTATCCGCAATTCACCTACTAATGCCTCTCTCTCGTCCCACTAATTTAACCCCATTTCCCCTGAATTCGCTGGGGCTGCTTTGAGTAATTTTTAGATTTTTCCTTCCAATTCCTAGAACTTATTCCCTAGATATGGCACATTTGATGATGCTATGTGTACAGCGCTGTACTATGCCACTATTTATGATGCCTAGTACTTACCTTAAGCTTCAATATGTATTCACATTGTAATTTTCTCTGTTTTGAGAAGCAATGCAAGACTTCCTCTGTTTCATGTTCCCCTGTTTGCTGGCAGAGATGACTACACGACTCATAAACAAGAAAAGAAGTAACTTCAATGCCAATTGCTAATTTCTCTGAAATTCTGTTGCATAAGAAGGCCCACAAGAAGAAAAATGTGAAAAGTGCCTTAATTATTAGGTGCAAGTAAAGACAACAATTTTATGTCAAGGTCGTTCTGATGAGTAAATTGTGAGATACCCCGTATTTCAAGTGATGTGTACCTGCTCATTCACAAGACTACTGTTACAGAAGCTGACAAAAAACAGGACTTTGTTAATTTTTGGCCGTTGGGGAGATTTGAAACGCAGAACCGCTCTGCTCTGAAGCAATGGGTGATTTGAGGATGACATCTTTTGTCTGTAGCGTTTCTTGGTCAATGTACAGAGCAGCGACAATGCATGCGTAACTATGAGCATCTTTATTAGGAGTTGAAAAGGAGTTCTCTGGAAAGAGGACCACCACCGCTGAAGAAAAATAGTAAATAAGCAAAAATGTTGGGAAAAAGATCAAATTTTTATGCACATGATTATTCTTTAAATGATTTGTTCAAGGAATCATTTGAGCTTATTTTAGATGCTAGTGAAGTTAAAGTTGGCCCTAACTTCTGCTTTGAATCAAGTGAAAAAGGCTTACACAGGAGATGGCAGTCTCTTGACAAATACAGAACGAGTAAACATTCACGCGATTTTGCCATGAAGTTCACTTGCTTATTGAAGGAAAAGGAACAGAGGTGTTCCAGTAGTTAAGGCTTCCTCTGTTGTATTGTGCAGGATTTACATCGAATTTGAATTTATTGAAGCTGTGACGTTTAAGTTAATCGATTTCCTCTAGACCCTCGGTGAAGTTCGGTTTAGCTTTAAGATGCTCTTATCAATTTGTTTTGTCCTTCCAATGTATTAAAGAATCCTATGATCATTCCCAAGGACAAAAAAATCAGTGGACTTGTGAATGTAATGTTGGGTTGTGGGTGTTTTCCATTAAGAAAACTTTTTATGAATTGTCGGGCATGAAAGTGCCTTTGCATTTGCATGGGGATTGCTGCTGTTACTGGAAAAGGAAAAAACATAGTGGTAGTTACAAGCTAGTGGGTGTTTCGATGACTCGTCTTTCTTGTTCATGCACAAGACTTCCAATTTCTGGAACAGTTTTAACATAATATTATCATTGTAAAAATTTCAGTATGCAATGAAGATGTGATCCTAATTCCAATTTGTAGGTATATTTGTATTAAGAAGAGCTTGATCATATCAAGTTTGATTACCAAAAGAAGATACCAAGCTAGTTGCCAAGCTTCACAAAATCTTGGAAATAGAGTTATTCGGTTGAACACAAAGTGACTTGAGCTCACAGTTTATGGTCAGTAGAATTGTTTCAGTAACCCCCACCTAACCAGTTTCGATTACTTTTTCCCAAAAGTTTCTCTCTGCTTTCCTTTCTCTAACAGTTTCAGCCTGTGATAAAGAGTTCTCATTTCTTTCCTGGGTAAAAAAAGGAAAATTCCCTGGTAAAAAGAGAATCTTGCAGCTGTGAAGACTGATTAGTCATTATCATTCCAAGTTAAGAAAGCTAGTTAACCTATACCATGACGTGGTGATGCAGCGGCGGGGAGATGTTAGCAATTTTTTACCCGTTGCTGTCATTCTTTTCTATTCTCTGTCTCTTTCTACCGCTTTTTCCAATGATAGAACGCTAATAGTTGAGGATCGAGAGCGATATAAAGGAAATCAATTATTACCAACATTCGTTTTACTCTCATTTTCAAGTAAAAAGAATTGGCAATTATACTAAATGGTTTTTGGGGAAATTTGTCGTGGTGGCTTGTTATGCAGAACTTGCCATGTTCACTATGCGCTTTAGTCATCTGTGAACTGCTCGTACAACGGCAGTACATCGCAGAATGAATTCTTTACGTAAGCACAAGTTTGATTAATTGTTTGTGAGGGATATGCAATTTGTTCTCTCCTTTCCACTTTGACCTTATTCTGGCAATCAGTCAAGGCATTAGTTTGCTCCACAGTTTTCTCTCACTAGTTCTTGTACTATATGTTTTTGCCTTTCCTTTTGTTGGTGACCCATCTCTGTCAATGAAACTCCATCATGATTTCACCTGTTAGGGAAATTGATTTTGCCCCCCACAACCATGAACAATTTAAAGTTGTTTAATCTCATTATTCTGTTACAACTTTTTGTTCAGCAAAAGTGTGGGTAACATCATTGCATTTTAGTGAGTTACTATCATTGTTAATTTGAATTTCTTTACGGGGGGCTGCAAGTTTTCGAGTAATCAACCACCAACCTTCCTTTGTCTCAATGAACATTGCTGCTGAGTGTGCAAACCCTAGACAGAAATCTTTGAGAAGAAGTGCGCATCACATTCTTGTACAGAGTGAAAGTATGTCCATTCTGATGAAAGTCTGAAATCCTGTAAACACTCTCAAAGCATTGCAACTCCTGACATTGGCACTTCTTGAGGAGAAACTACATAGGCATGTAAAAACAGATCTTATGAGTGGCAGATTAACTTTGCTGTGAATCTTTCAAGAAGATAAAAGGCAATATACAAAGTGGTGGCACAAAAATGCATATGGTAAAGGCATCCATCCCAGCACTTAGCAATTGCAAAGCAGAGGGTGAAAAAGAGGGAGATTTTTAACTTGGAGGTCAGAGGAGTTGATCTTCCAACAGAAAAAGGAAAGGCTAAAGAAAAGGGGAGAGGGGAAACAAAAAAAAGCAGTCAAACCCAATCATGATGTAGAGAATTTCATGTGGAGGTGTTGGGGGTGAGGGACAATCATATGACCCCCCTAATCAACTTTAATCAGAGCATGAATAAAATGTTCTGATGTTTTTCACTTGTCCTTTCAATTGGGGTTTCATCATTTGGTTTAGATGCCTTGGATCTGGTGAGTCAGGCAAGAAGCCAAAGAGGGGCATGAGAAAAGATTAGGTTTTTTTTAAGTTGGGTTTGGGAGGGAAGGCAAAAAGGTTGGTGGCCTAATACCCAAGAAAAAGCCAAATCTCTTTCAACCCATCTTGGAGCATGATCCTTTCCTTTTGTCTAATTTTCTTTTTCTTTTCAAGATTTGGTTGAAGGGGAAAGTGATAATTTTCAATGGTAGGGTCTGTGAACATGACATGTACTGGATGAATTAGAAATGTGTAGAGTTCCATGAGGCAATGTCTCCTCCATACTTCTTCACATGGATGTCCATGTGCATGTGAACATCCACATGGACCTAGCCGCCGACCTTTCCTTTCCTCCCTAGAGGCCATGCCGTGACAAAGATTGTGTTGGACCATGCTCTCTCTCTCTATCTCTTTGTCCAAACATGGGGAAAATTCTGTGCAAAATTCCGTCCATTATCATGAAAGGACGTAACATAGACTCGTTCTATCGGATGGAGCTAATCACAAATTAGAGATTTAAGTGCCATCCATATTCGCAAAAGTGGAGCCCTAACAAAGGTTGTGCTATTTCTTCGTATATGATTGATTCGGTTTATTAAAATGAGTTTAGTCGTTATCCTCTCCGTATTGATGTGACTCATGGATAAATTGTTAACACATTAAATTTCATAATTGAGTTCAAAGTACTCGAAAAAAACTTGGAAGTAAGGAACCTATTTAGGTAAACCAATTAGGAAAAAATGGCTTGTTTTTTTCTTTTTATCAGGGAACTTAATTTGGTAATTTAAATAGGAAAGCATGGGTTTTTCTTTTTTATTAGTATTTTTTCTTCATGCACTCTTTTGAGTGCCTTCCATAGTTTAAATGGATAGGTGGGTCCATTTTGTGGGTGAGGGGAGTTAGGCCCAAACCGACTAAATAAAGGTCTTTTGGGGCTCCTTTCTTGGACTCTAAATTGGAGTGGGGAGAAATGTACCTTTCATTGTACAAGGAGAAAAGGAAGGACAGGCCCTACAAACCAGCCCATGGGAGTACAACCAAATCTAAAACCGAAGTCTGATAACTAGGAGCGAGCAAAAAACGGTTCCAGCCTTTAGATTGGACGGTTTGATTCGGTTTGATTCGGTTTAAGAGTATTTTTTTAAAAAAATAATTCACAAACCGAACTAGATTGTTTCTTTTTGGTTTAATTTGGTTTCAACTTTTTAAAAACCGAATTGAACGATAGTAATTGTAGGAGGTGAAATCTCTCTATTTATATTGTACAAAGTATTAATAAAGTTGGTTGTTTCATTGGCTCAATTCAATGTTTAACTTAACGGGCTGGGTCGCCTCATGGGTCTGCCATCACCATCTCCAGGCTTCGTCGGTGATGGCGTCGACCTTCACCCTCAACCGAGACTGGACTGCTTAACATGTTTGCATCTCGGTAGACACGAGTCAATTTAGTTAGTGGTTGCCCAAATCGATGGAGGCCCTCAATTTGGATGTGAGGGCTGCCATCGATTGAAGGCCGCCCTTGCCCAGATCAGTGACGAATGTCGCGAGAATTGATGTTTTATAGAAGGAACGACGGAGAGGTATGACTCCGAGTGTGGAGAGACAAGCCGATAGAGGGAGGTAAGATGGATAGTGTTATCAACGGTGGGGAAGTGATGAGCAATAATTGATGGCGTCAACCCAGAACAAGCAATTACCATAATGTGTTCGTGCCAGTTTAGGTTTATGACCCGAAACATAATCGAACAGTTAGAAGCCCATCATTTTACTCACTAATCGAACCAAACGGAAAGCCGACCCAAAAGGCGAAACTTTCGATTTTCGATTCGGATCAATTCAATTTGGTTCAGATTTCGGCAGTCCTTTTTGACAGCCCTAACCTTCTTCACTCGTTAACAAAATTCATGTAAGTAATTATTAAAGTTGAATGGAGCACACAACTCACGTAGGTACAACAAGGTGATAGATCCACAGGTTTAAGACCCCGACATTGGTAGTTCTCGCGTGCAACTTCTTTGGGCTTGTCATATTTCGTAATAGGATAATAACTGGTCTCTGTCCTCTTTGTATTGCTCTTTTCCTTTTGTGT